ATGCTTTCGTACGTGAGTCCTGGATTTGTGACATACTCGCTCTCCGAATCATATATATTATTTTTGCGACAATTACCTGCGAACTTTTGCATTTTTTTGATGACATACATGTGAGTCGCTATGATTTTTGGTGCATGATGTTCCAAAGGCGTTTCAACATGTTTAAGTATAAAATCGCAATAATTCAGTAGCATATTTGTATACAACTGTAACAGCCACAATGTACTAAGGTTCGTTCGATCCAACAAATATAACGTAGATATCATATATTTTACAGTATCTTTATGATAGCGTATCAACTCTAACGCTTTGCTTGGTGAACTTACTGGTGGTGAAAACACAAGGTTGATTAGGCGCATTTGCGTTAACCCTCTGAACAAGTAACCGCATTTCAAGTCACTGATACGATTAATGTTTTGATCATTGTCTTCGGTGTTATATGTATATCCGGTTTGCAAAGGTTGAGCTGATCCACACTTAAGAACCGCAAAGTTCAATACAATTATAAACAGTATTTTTGACCACTTCATTTTAATGGAATTTAATTGGTAGGAATTTTGAAAATAAAAAACCTTAAAAATATCTAAATCGTTTTGTGATTTAAAAAAACAGTACAATTGAACGACTATAGCGAATGATGTTATTTATCAAATGACGTGCAAAATATTTGGCAACCGAACGAATGAAAGTTCCACGTCAAACTGATAATACTAACATCGACAATTTTGCAGCTATATTATTTTTTATTTAGGTCGACGTATTTTTCTGTGCGAAATGTATTATTTGGTTTATGAATATTTATCGATGGAGTTTAAATCAATTTTACAAAACGTGTAAAAATTGAATTTTTTGTGTTTAGATTAATTCTGCATAAATTCAAATTATATATTGAAGCTAACTAATATTTATACTTATATTAGTTTAACTGTTAAATTCGACCGGTTCTGGTCTACTTAGAGATTTCACATATTCTACAATAATATTTTGATCGACACTTTGATACGGTAACCTTTAAAATATCTAAATCGTTTTGTGATTTAAAAAAAAACAGTACAATTGAACGACTATAGCGAATGAAGTTATTTATGAAATGACGATCTGGCATACTGTGCGTTCATCAAACTGCAAAGCTACAAAACCGTAATAAATATATGCACAACCTCAGTAAACAAAAACAACATGACATACGTTACGTTTTGCAAAATTTTACTTAAAATTTTAAATTATTCACACTAAATCCAGTACAGCGGGGACGGTAAAATTATAAAATCAGTTTTAAATAAACGCTTCGATACGAATCTTTCAATAGTAGGTTGTATCTAATTATGTGCTTAAAAATTAATTTTATTGAAAAAAAATTTTCCAGCCGAGTCTGCAACCACGAAGGAGCATTTTCATGTCTCGTTGATGTACCGAATAAATTTAGAGTAATGGTGGAATTATAGATAACGATATAGTATATTAAGAAACAGTAACAAGCTAGTATATTAAAACATCAAGTTTCTGGCTAATATTGTAGTTTTTATTATCTGGCTTAAAACAATTCATAGAGAATTTGGGCCCTTAAACTATTTTGAATTTATCATTAAGTTCTAATTTGAACGTTGAACGTACAACATATCTCTTATCTCCTATATCTTACCCTTTTTCTCACCCCCTATCTCCTACCCCTATCTTCCACCCCCAACCCCATATCCGTGTGGTAACGCTTTTTTCGGTTATGTGCCAGAGCTAATACTCACTCCCAACCCCACCCCATCCCTACTTCCAACCCAACCACAACTCCATCCCCTTTTAAATATTTTTTAAAAAAGTCTTAGATTTTATCATAGTGTTTTTTTGTTTTTTTAAAGGGGTTGGGGTGAAATTATTTAATTTTTGGCCCAATATAGTACCTTACATGTACAATTCCTGATCGACAGAGTTGCTACAGAAAATATTAATGTTTTTATAATAATTGTTTTCCTATACTTGTAGCCGAAAATTGTTATTGCTAAATTATGTAAACCAAAAGTGTACAAAAAACAATATTTTATTCGATGAAACCGATTTGATTACACAAATGATTTGTGTTTAAAAATTATTTTCATGCGTTTCATTCTTTTCTCTAAGTAACGGGCTTCGTCCAAAAACCAAATTATTTAAAAATTAGCTGTAAAAATAGTTTTGTAAAAAAAATGGATTTATCTGGTAATCAAATGCCACATTTTTGTTACCGGGAAAATATTATAGAAAAAGTACCTAAAGCTACTACAACGGGACGACTGCAAATGTAGGTAATGGGTAGGTATTAAAATAAAATATAAAAGTATAAATCTTTTATTTCTAAAGAACTCGTATCTCTTTAGAAAACTAAATCCGGATCAACCTTAAGATAGTGAAAATGTTGCCAGGCTTTTTGGTTTAAAATGTAAAATAAAGAACAGACCGTTTTCAATCCCTTTAATGTCCTATTTCATTATATTATAAAGGTGTCGTTTTATATAATGAAATAACAAATGTCTTACGCCATTATCTTAAGCTACACTTTTGTATAATGAAAAAAGACATTAAGGGGATTGAAAGCACTCTGTTTTTTTTTTTTTTTTTAGGTACCTTATTGCGTTGTCTTATGACCATTATATAAAGCGACACGGATAGAAAATATTCTACGGTAAACACATTTTGGTGTAAAAAAATGTACAAAGATAAAACTAAAATACCTCCATATTATATTACCTACCTAGCACGTATAAAAATATAATAAACAAAAACGTACTTACAATAATATATTGTATCGCAGCACTCGCTCGAGAAATTATCCAGCTGCTATTATTTTATACACAATAAAATATAGAAATCACCGTCGCATGCATGCGTAGTCGTTTCTTAGTATATTTTATTACTTTTGTAAAAATTTAACGACAATAATAAGTTTAATCGACGAGACGTATCAGTTGTTTGTTACCTATTTTGCTTCTTAGAAAACGCGAAACGCAGCAGAAAAAATATATTAACAATTAAATACCGGACGGGTGGCAACACTGACTGGAAACACACAACACAACAATCATTATTAAGTTATAAAAAAAAAAACCCATTTTTATTACAGGAAAAATACAAAACGAATATTACACTCGGTCGTACTCCGTAGTAGAAAATAATAATATGTTATGTACACCTACACGTCTTGCTTTTGTGTAGATTTAATACATAACATATTTTGATAACAACACATGATAACAACGCAAGTTTTCATCGATATTTCCATTAGCCTAACTAGGGGTTCACTATGACATATAAAAATTAGTACAATTATTAGTTTGAAATGTTTATTAAATATTCATTAGACACACAGTACTACCGTCATAAAAAAAAAAAAAAAAATACCAATAACGAGTGATAAAATCACTTTTGAAAAAACGCTTCGATGCGAATCTGTGGATAGTAATGTTGTAGGGTGTAATAAGGATGTTAAAACCAGTTAGAGCGGTTTAGAAGATATCGTGGGACCAGCAATAATGTACTTAAATTTTAATATTTAGTCTTGTGCAGGGCGGATACGATAAGGGTCGATCGTCTGTCTATAAAAATGCACTGTCATAGTTATCCATACATAGTAATTAACAATATAATGAAAATATTTTCATCACCTGTTGACTGTTAATTCAGTCACACATAGCACAATCTAGAAACTGACTACGGTCAAAGTGTAAATTTACCCTAATTTTGGTGTTTTTCCTTAATAAAAAAAAAAAAAATTACTACAGATTTTTGAGAAAATTGTACATGTTATAGTTCCATTTTAGATCTACCTTCGGTCTAATTTTCAGATCTAAATCTCTAAAACTTTGCTTGAAAAAGTGAAATAAAGAAAAAAATTCTGTCCGTTCTAGGGGAAAGGGTTTATGATATATTTTTAGTTTGTTAATGTTTATCGATAGTACTATGTTTGAAGAACAATTCATAAAAATTTGGAACTTTTTCGACTATTTTTAAAAAAGTTATAGAGCATCGTATTTCTAAGTAGAAAAAATGTATACATTTTTTGGGTGTTTTTCTCGATTTTGATGGGGAAGGGGTGACTTTTTTTTAATTTTTAGCCTTGTAAAGTACCTTCTAGATATGATTTCTGATCTATAAAGTTGCTACACAAAGAAATCGGTTCGGCGGTTTACGATATATCGTGGGTCAAGACACAAAAAAATAAATAAAAACACATCATTGTAAATACAATACCTTCTCAGCTCCGTACCGAAGCTAAAATACATTTTGTTTGAAGTCATCGTACCTACATAATATTATTGTCACATAATTCTTAATATGGCAGATATTATGTTTATTTTCATTATTTCTCAACCTAAGTGTAAATCTAATTTAGCGGCTGTACTATTTTTGACTAGAGCTTTGTTTTTAGCCAACCAAATGTACCTATGTTGGCTAGTTGATTTTTTCCATAGTTCACGCTCTAGTTTTGGAATATTTAAATAGGTCCATCCTGTGTAGGGGCGATTTTGTCAGGGTTCCTTGGTCTAAAATACCACTAAAATTGTAGAAGTTAAAAACAATACTGTTTTCTTAAATATTGCCTACAATATGAAACTCCTCTAAAAAGCGTAAAGAAAAGGCGCGTTTTAAAGAGAAACGATATTCGAATCAGACACGGTATCGATTAACGTCCGGATGACGTCTTTACAGGCGGACGGGTGGCAACCCTGGGTGGGTAGTGTTGTACCTACACCGTGCAGAATCCAAGCGGAACGAACACGGTCGCGGTCTTTGTCGACGGGACGTGTCGACGTAATTGTTAACGCGCGAAAGACGGGTAGGTAGGTACTATTGATTTTCCGCGTTGCGCATGTCGCCGCGGCCGCCATTCTTTCTCGCTGCGTACCTACTGCGTCGTCCACGGCCCACGGCGCTCAGTATGGACAACGCGTCGAACACGCCATTCCGCCGCCGCCGCCTCCGGAACCCACTGTTCCCTGTTGCGCGTCAAGTTGTGTTTTGCGACGTCCGCAATGTTCTCGCTGCTATTACACGCCTATCACGCGTGCAACCAGGACGAGAGGGAGTACTTCGACAAGTACCTGGCCACCGATCCCGTCGACATGCAGGGCTGTTGCGTGAACGTCATCCGGAGCCTGAAGGACCACCGCGTCAGGACCCGCGCGTTCCGCGAAACGTGCGAAATAGCAGCGGCCCACGGCCACATGAAGTGTCTGAAGTACGCGCACGAGAACGGCGCAATCTGGAACAACCTGACGTACATCAACGCGGCCAAGGCCGGCCGCCTGGACTGCATGAAGTACGCGTTCGAGAACGGCTGCACCTGGGGCCCATGGCGGTACATTTACACGGCCGCCGGGCCGGTGGACCACATGTGCCGCATCCAGCCGGAGCAGACGGTGTGCGCGGTGGCCGCGGAGTACGGTCACCTGGACTGCCTGAAGTTCGCCTTCGAGAACGGGTGCGCCTGGGACGCGTTCACAACCAACGCCGCCGCCAAAGCTGGCCATTTGGACTGTCTGCGTTACGCCCACGAGAACGACTGTCCATGGGACGAGCAGACGTATAAGTACGCCTTGATGAACGGCCATTCGGAGTGCGCCCAGTACGCCGAGGACAACGATTGCCCCAAGTACACTTCCAACGAGAGTCGCGTGGCCTACTTGATCAACAATAGGTGGGTCATATACGGTTGAGCGAGTCAGGCACAAGCGACAAGTTACGCCGACTTAGTTTTAATAGTTTTTCATTTCATGTTTGTTCGCAAAGTCCAGTCGGTCGTATTTACGGTTAAACGCTTACTTTCGTAGTCAGTCAAATTAGCATTAACGATACAATTATGGTTATATTCCATATAATACATTCAATATTTCCATAGACACGTAGAAAAAAATATAGTCAAATGTTAAGTGATCCAACATTTTAATGTATATCGTACACCCGTATCGTAACATTTTACGTTATTGTACAATTTATTTGCATTACGTTATGTTATGTTTACAATTTATTCTAACATTATTATCGATTATAAATAGCCGTCAAACTTTGTTTTTAAAAACTATTACTGTTTGTTTTCTGTTTTGCCAATATTTTTTTTAACTGTTTTAAAACATGCAAAATGTATTTTTTATTTTTTTTTTATTTTAATAATTTGTTTATGTGTTTTTTTTTTTTTTTTTTTTTAAGTTTATTAAAACAAATTTAAAAAAATACATTGCTGTACTTTTAACATAATATGTACGATACGTTTATATACTAGTGAAAAACAATAGAATAGTAGAATAGTATTTTAATTAAAATTTAAACATTTTTAGTCATTTGTAGACGTACTACGGTCATTGTACTTTATAATAGATATTGCTTATAATATAATATACATTACAGTAGTTGAATATATTATACATATTGTATTATTAATATTTAAATAAATAAATATCGGATAATGGCTTTACGTAATTTATGTCTTACAACTGCACCTATTTACTATTTCCAGACGTGTGTATTGATATAACAATCGCAGAATAGATAAAACAAAATTCTGTGTAAAGATCAAATTGTAAATTTCACATTTAATGTGCAACTTATACATCATAGACGAATCATATTATTTGGTTGTACGAAGATGGTTACAATCATTACAAAAATGTTATAATTTTTAAACATTTCTTTTGCTATTTGAGATAATACAACAAATTTAATTTTTAGTTATTTAACATTAAATACTTAATGAAAAATATGGCAGTGATTTTCTCTTTCAAATGTGGTATGGAAAAAAAAAAACAATGTATGGTGCTATTTGAAGAGAAACAGGTAAAATAAAGTATATACATTAATAATAGTGGTGTGAAATGAATGTTGTTTGTTATTTTGTGTAAAAGGGGTGTTATGAGTTGATTAGAGAGAGAATTATGGTTTTTGTTGGGTGAAATTATTGTCGAGTATTTATAATTAGTTGGTTAAGTATTCTTCAATTTGGTCCAGTCCGGTTCGTGAAGTTAAGTACTTAAAAAAACAAGAAGTATTAGGGTAAATTTGTTGTTATGTTAACGGGCTTTGCATTGCTAACCAAAAAAAAAAAAAAAAAAATGGCAATACTCAATTAGGCGTAGTAATCAGGCGTAGCGTAATTTATTTTACATCCAGGCAAGTTCAGTAAATGGCCGAAGAATCAGAAAACGCTGTAGACTCCAACTCGATGTCATCGTAAATTTTACGCCATTTGGTATGTTCCTCGGTGAAACTATTGCGTTTGACTTTCGCGGTGGCTTCCGGCACGGAAGTGGGTCTCGCCGTAGCGTTCATCTCCTTCATCAAGCGCAACGTCTGATCCTGCTGTTGAATGGTTTTGTTTTTCGTCGTCAACAGCTTATCTCGGGTTTGTAACTCCTCCCTGCAATCGGTCGGTCAAGTGTTTAAGTTTCTACGGCTTGTTCGCTATTATTGCCGTCGAAGAACAGGTTACCTGACTTCTTCCATTTCTTTGTTGTAGGCGGCTTCGGTGATGGCGAAAGCGTTTTTCATGTCCACAATGGACGCCGTCAAGTTTTTGATCTGACGCCGATAGTTTTCCATCTCTTCTTCTCTGTACGGCTGCACGTGCGTCGCGGTGTTCAGCGACTTCTCCAACATGCGTTTGTCTTTGGTCAGTTCATCGACCATGAACTCGTGCTGCTTGATGTACTGGTCTTTGCGGGCCAACGCTTTTTGCACGGTGTCGATCTGCTCTTCCAAGTATGTCTGATATTGTTTCAACGTGGTATTTCTGCGGAAAAGGCAAAACAAAATATGTCTTTTGTTAGTTCAGCTGGATTGTAAAAACCACCAAACTCTCTTGCGGGGTTTACTCTTCTTCTAGTGCGGTCAATTTTTCGGTGAGTTCCGATTCTTTTCTAGCCGACTCTTCCATTATGATTTCTATACGTTGTTGCAAGTTGTCCAACGTCGCATTGGATTCATCTAATCTGCAACGGTGAATTCTCCGACATTAGAAATGGTCAAAAGCAGTGAGGAGTTTGATTATTACTATAGTATAATTATAATAAGAGTTTTTCGTTATTGTCGTTATTAACGCTTACTCGGATTGCAAAGAGTTTTTCTCGGCGATAACCATTTCCTGTTGACCGGTGATTTCTTCCAGTTTGTTTGTGTAGTAACTCACGTTTTCGTTGTTGCCGTTGTCTTCCAGGTACTTACACCTGTCGACCACAGCGTTGTACAAATCGTTCAGCTTACTGTTGTTGGTCTTTTGGTTTTCCAATTCTGCGGCAACCGCTTCGTACTGTTCGGTTAGCACGCTGTTGGCGTTTTGTAGTTTTTCCATTTCGCATGTCAACGATTCCATCTCGTCGATATTTGTTGCCAAAGCTAGTCTCTACATAAGAAAATGTATTCAACGTTATTACATAACTAATATACCACAGCGGGAAACATTTCAATTGGGAGTTTTGGTTTTCTAACCGGTGATGCAATAATCAGTTATAAAAATATAGTATTTTTTTTATTTATTTAACAAAAAATAAATGTTTTATATTATAATACTGCACCGGGGCCTTCAATTGCCAATGGTTAAAAGTGGAAATCAGCGCACTTTTCATCGCATCAACCAAAAGCTGCAGTTATTTTGTTCAGAAAAATATTTTTATATTATTTAGTTATCGGAATATAATTACAACCGAATGGCAAAAATATATTTTAAAATTAAAACAATTTATAATTATTGTTTTAATATTATAAATTATTGTTAAAAAGTTTTAACTGTTTAACCGTTAATTTATTACAAATAAATTAAAAAAATGTAATCTGTTGATTTTGTTTCTATTCAAAATTAATTCTTTTTAATCTTTTAACTTACAACTATGTTATAATAAGTTACTTAAATTAATGATGTTTTTTTAATAGTTTTTGAATTCACTCTTAAACTTTTAAAAACTATCTATATTTTTATTTAAATGCGTTTTACTTACAAGTACAACTAAGTACTATTGTAAAAAAAAAAATTGTTTTTACAACACTATAAAGAGCTATATTTGCTTACAGCTTCTTTATCTTTTTTTTCAGAAATCTGTAAACGATCCTCCAATAATTTTCTGGTTTTTTTTTCGTCGTCAAGTTCAATCTTTAACTTTTGTACGTTGTCTATTGGTTTTGGTACTGTGTTATTATCACCAATGCTCTGTCAAAAAAAAAAACATAGTACTTTATTACAGACCTAGATATTATTTATATACACTTTTACTGTAATCTACACTGAAATAATTCTCCAAACTAAAAACCTATCAGTTCTATTTAAACAAACTAAAAAAAAAAAAAAAGGCATTCGAATAAAACTGTTATCATTTCCAAAATAATTTGTTATCTATACACAAATTGAGATAATAAGAAAATAGAAAATAATTATATATTTTAATATTAAATGAACTAATTTATAATTAGAAAGTTATTTAAAATACCAAGACATTTGAAAACGTCAAATAAAAGTGTATTTAACAAAATACAATTTGAAGTTTAATGTAAATAAATATTTTACTGCACAAAACTTGTTATTGAAAAAAAAAATTGCCCGAAAGGTTTTTTTTTATTACTATTGTTTTCATTGTGATAATTATAGTAGCAAACGTCTCAACATTTCTGAAGATCAACCTTTTTATTCAGCTTTATCTCAGCTTGTTCAGCTTTTTCAACATCATCGTCTTTTTGGTTTCCTTCGTTTACCGTGGAAATCGACAACTTTTCGTCTGACGTGGATATTGAATATTCTCCGAGAAACTTTACGATAGCGAATTAAATAGAAATAATAATAATTTAATGTTATAATCATTTAACAGTTATTATATTATTTATTACCGTTTCTTGTGCAGTCCTTCTACAGCTCAACGTGTACGATTCCGACACCAGTTTCTCCCAACGTTCGATAACTAAATCACAAATAATTTCCATTTTTCAGTTTACACACTTTAAGTGTTACAATAATATGTGTACATTTATCGTTAACGTTTCAAGAGAACATCGTTCATAAAATACATGCTGTCACTAATTGTTTTTAATACTGTTATGTGGCGATCTCGTTCGACAAAACACACCTTTATCGGTTTCCGATTTGAGTTCTGCCGAACTCGGTTTGGGTATTGTGTCCACGCTAGTTTGCACGGTGAGTTTTTTTGGAATGACTGTTTTCTTCACGACCGGAGTTTTTGGTAATTTCGATTTCGGTATTGGTTTAATGTTCTTTTCAATCTGTGAGAAAATATCTATGTTATTATCGTATTGCATATAACAGCGAACGGGACTGTTTACCTTTGGCGCTGTCTCGATTTTTTTTACTACTCTTTTCGACATGATTTATACTACTTCAATACTATTAATTTAAAAATTTAAAGAAAAAAAAAAATGTCTAGTAAAAATCCAAAATAAATTCATAAAAATATGTAAATATATTTTCTGTTTATTTAAATTGTTTGGTTGTTACTTGATACATAAAGAAAATAATTTCTGTGTGTGTGTGTGTATGACCATCTAATATTGATTTTTGTCAATTTTTATTAAGCCTAAACTGTTAAATACGTAAAACACTTTAACATCAGTCTGAGTTTAGTAATATATTGTGGACTTATACCGATACTTAAAATAATAATAATTACTTAAATACTAAAAAGAATTAAAAAAAAATTAACAACTACATCCTCCATTAGGCGGTTTACGTATCTCAGCTAGTTCTTGTGCAAGAACCAAACGGACCTAAAAGGTTAACAAAATATGAATTTATTAAAATTTATTCAATACAAAGTTAAATATCTGTACCTCGAAACCAGACAACAATGTCGGTCACATCATGCCAACTTTTCAAAAAAGCGTAACAACGTTAATCGTCTAGGATGCGCAGTGCGCTCCTATGATTACTTAGAACTCATATAACCCTAGTAACTTATAGAAGAACATTATTTAACGGAATTCCATCGGTACGGGCTTGGTGCGAAATCATATTTTATATGATCTGGTCCTGAAGTACAGATATTAAAAATAACATAAATGATATTTGTGTGATACAATAATAGCATAATACAATATGGATAAGTATAGACAAGAGTTGGCCAAAACAAAACCCAGGTTCAAGTCGAGCAAATGATTGTCATTTACCCAAATATATGAGTTTATAATATACATAACCCAACCTAGGTTTTGATCAACTCTGGTATTGATTCAAGTTATAATCAAGTGTCATTTACTTTTGCAAAAAATCGAGTATGGATTACTCCTAGTGACATTTCCGCTATCGTGTTCAATAATTCTTTAACATTGGTATTGTTTTTGGCCGATACCTCAAAAAACGGTGTTTTATAATGTTCAGCCACCTGCAAATATTTTCAATATATAATCAGAATCGAACATAATGCACAACATGTATTTGTGTATAGATTTAAACTTAAAAAAAGAAAAATAACAATAACGTTATACGTTTATTTTATCCCTAAATCATCTACGATACACACCCATTGTCCATCGATTGTTATGAATTTTCTATGAAAATACAAAAAAACTGTTATTTTGTTGTGTTATTAATTTATCAAAATTATCGTTATAATATCTTAGTTGGCTTTTTAACTATAAAATAGCAAGTACCTATGATATTTTACATTATTACGCAGTTTCTTTTTATTTTATCTTCCATACGTAGCTAAAAATGAATTGGTTTTAAAATGATGAATTTTGCTTCTTAAATTTTAAGACTGGATCAACAATAGTTTTTTAATCGGCGAACAAATTTCTTTAAGCCAACACTATGGATCAGAAAGTGGTACTTTAAAGGGCTATAATGAAAATAGTTCACCTCTTTCTTTTAAAAATGTATGAAAAACACCCTAAGAAATAATAAATTGTCAATCTTAAAATTACGGCAGATTTCATTCTTTCCTTTTTTTTTTTTTAAGACTTGTTATATGAAGAAATCAGTTCAGAGGTTTAGAAGATAATCCATAAAAAATAATAATAATAAATAAAAAACACATGAATTTTTTTTTTTAATTGAATTGAGTGAGACCAAAATTACAATAAACTTATCGTGTAAAATTAAAAAATTATAATAATTTACCGCTTGTCCAATATCGGTTGAAACCGACGTTTCTACAACATCCTTATCGTATTTGCATCCGACTAAAATTTTAATCACATCGCTTGGTGCTGTCTAAACAACAAAAATAAGAAACATTATTACCTACACACCTTGTCCAAACCTAGAAAAATAAATAATTTTTATCTTGCATGCTAATAGATTTACTGTACCAAATAGCGATAATAATTACCTGTTCAATATTTTTAAACCACTTGTCTATTCGGATAATTGATTTTTCCCGAGTAACATCATAGACTAATAATACACACACAGATCTTCGAACATGGATCATATTTATTGATTCAAATTTTTCATCTCCACCTGTATCCCTAAATTGTAATAATATATCCTATTTATATTGTAATGATAAAGTGACAAAACTAATTAACTTAAAAAAAAAAGCCACTTACAAAACTTACATAAAATGTAATTTAACTTTTCGACCACAGACGTCGATGACTTTACTTTGATAATTTAGCCCTAAAAATCATATTACAATTTTAGCTTGCCAACCAATATTCTTGTATGACATATAATATTATGTTATTTTTTAATTTACACAAGTATTATACATAAGGGGTAAAATATTTATGGATTTTGATATAGTATTTATCCATACATATATTAAATATAATACCTATGGTACATTGGTGATCTTCGCTGTATTTTCCTGTTACAAACCTTTGCAACAAACACGTCTTTCCAACACCATAATCACCCACCACTGCCACTATCCCCACAGAAATTCCAGTATTGGACATGTTAATATTGTTGTAATTATTGTTGTTAGCAGCAAACAAAAGAAAAATGACCAGTTTTGTTTCTAAAAAACAAATAAACAAATAAAATATTATGCCTATGGCACAATGTCATCGTGCAAGTACATTGCTTATCAAAGTATTGTCAACAAACTCGTTAACCCGCATGCACAGATTATATGAAAACAGATTGTTCGGTTACACCTCAAAGAGCCACTCGACACGGAGCCACTCGACAAACAGCCACTCCAAGGGGTACCAACATATACAATAATTATAAAAAATGCACGATTATTATTCGTGTATGTTGTGCGGCTAGTATTGTTTATTTAAAGGGAAAAACTTGTACATTTCATAATTAATGCAATAGGCTTGGAATATTTTTAATTCACAGTGTGACCTGTCTCCTGTGTTAGTTTCTTTCTCTTAAATGTCAACTTATATTTGGCTTACTTTTACTTATAATAATAATAATGATAATTAATATCCAACAAAAAATTGTAAGACCACTATCAAATATAATGACTTATCAGATGTTCCCGATATAATGGCCGTATATCATAGACTTATAAAAAATATAACATTTTATTTAAGTACGTTGTCGAGTTCTTTTCGAATTAAACATTTAAAAATACAGTTTTGAGTTTTTTTATTTAAGTTATAATCAAATCAGTTTTTATTATTGAAATTTATATAAAAAAAACTTAAAGTATATGAAACAATATTTACAATATTATATTATAGTGATAATTTACCAACAATAAATTGTCTCTTGAGTTTGTAAAAAAAAAAAATGTTTTTCAAAACATACTTACACGTTTTATAATAAGTAAAACAGAATGTTCATTGATAAAATTTCAATGAAATTATACTTTTTTTTAAAATTATTTAATACCGATATATTATACCTATCTATTTAAAACAATACATCGTGAATACCTCATACGAAACTATTCGATACCCGACACATTTACTTAAATACTTTACAACTTCCAATAGGCAATAACACAATAATAAATTATAGTTGAATATTATTTAATTTTGTATTATATTTTTTCATATCTGTGTATTAGTTATCATGTTATATATATGCCAAAAATAACAATTCCGAAAATATTTAGAACCGAAACATATATTAACCGAAAATATAATAGCCGAAAAATATTTAAGTCGAAAATAATATTTACGAAAAATATTTAGGTCGAAAATAATGTCATCGAACGTATTTTAGCTGACACTTATTATTTAAACAGAACCTTTATAAGTTATAAATTATAATAGTATAAAAAAACAGTGTTACGCGCGCCGTGTGACCGTGTTGTGTCTACTGTCTACACTATTTTTATAACATCTGTGATAAGTTCCATTTGTTATTGAAATATACAGTTATTTTTTATTTTTTGGTTGATATTTTTTTTCCATATACACTACTAATGCTTAATTGTTGTATTTGTTTATACTTAGTTACACAATAGTAAACTCAAACAGGGACAACCTATGGTAGACTGGCGCCTTGCCGATGCTGAATAAAATGTTTATATATTATTAAGCCGGCAGTAGTTTTTGGGGGTCTAAAATAACCGGTATGGTTTTTTGGATCTAGATATGATACACTCATCAGACTTATCACTAATGTCCAGCTAATATATAAAATAGATCACTCCAGTTTATGTGTAAACAAGGTCAGATACAAGGGGAAGGCTGGAGTTAACAGTTAATAGTTTATAATACAATCTATATTAAAATAAATATAAACCAAGTCAAACTATAACGAATTTATGAGTAGTAAATTCACATGACTTCTTAAAAACAATCCAAATTAACTCAGGTGCTATAATATAATATACATAATATTATCATTAATCAAAGATATTATGTATAAATGCACAAACAACAAAAAATTTCAAATGTATTAAATTTATATTTACAAACACAGATTTCCTTATTTCACACTATTATAATATACAAGTTAAAAGTTAGCTATAACTTAAATTTAAGTGACATGTGTATTGGCGTTGTCGGTTGTATTATCTAGATGTTTTTATACATGTGCATAGAGTACACAAGGGTTTCACAAAATGATGAAATATAAATATTCATTTATATGTATATATAGATAATAAAAATAGAAATAATTAATCAGATAAAAAAATCCAATTTATATAGATGGCCTATAGCACAAGCCAAATGGGTGGAAAATATACACATTTGTCAATTAGCTACAAATGTACTTTTTTTGGATTTTTATATCGGTATTTATCTAATTCTAACCCTCTGCTTCTGAGTTTTTAATAATTAGTTCTAAGTCAATAAAAAGTAAAAACCTTTATCAAATACTTTTTAGTTGTATATATAATATATACATGGATCGTTCATTCCGATACTCATGAAAATGCACACAAATTAAACAATGTTTAATAACTTCATTTGTTTTATATTTAAAATATATTTGTAATTTAATTGGAATACATGAAAGCAAGTTACAATATTATTCAATTAATATCGTTGCAATATACATAATTTTTTTACCTATGTATTATCATTGAGTATATATTGTATACAATATATACTCAATGGTATTATGTTAATAAATAAGTATCAATAATATAAAAATGTATAATTATTTATAATAATAGACTAAAAGTATTTAGGAACAATAATTATTAATAATAGCATGAGTTAACAATAAATCCTGTTGAGTAAATTGAAATATTAGTAACAAAATAATGAACATAGTAACAATGTTTACTATACAATAGGGGTTTTAATAAAAATATAATATTTTCTACAAAGTTACTGTTTTTATTTTTATTGATATACAATTTGGAAATTACATTTTTTGCTATTACTCCGTTATAATACGTGGTGTCGGCCGCACAACATACACAAATAATAATCGTACATTTTACATAAATATTGTACATGTTGGTATCTCTTCGGGTGGCTGTTTGTCGAGTGGTTCCGTGTCGTGCTCCCGATTGTTCACTCGGGCCTTTAACAATAGGATTGCAAATAAGGCTCTATGATTGGCCCACCAAATTCAGTGTGACCGTCTGAAGGGAATTTGTTTTTGAACGTGTTCGCGGGCTTTCGCGTTTGTTAAATAATTGAGTTAAACAGAATGTTTTCATATAATCTGTGCCGCACGCATGAAACACAGAATAATCAGAACGGGAACTTTAAAAAATTACATCGGTTCTTACGAGTCAAAATGTCGGACTATTATCAGTCCCCCGGTTAAGTTTCCCTTCTGGTTATTCTGTGCACGAATCACGGATTTATGATAACAGCTATCTATCATTAGAGCATTGATTAATACGAGTATACGTTGTGAATTTAAGCAATGATTAAATATTAGATATTAAATAAACTGGACAATAATTGAGTTCACATTTCCCTATTAAGTATGAACATATTAATATCATTGAGTACATTAATATATTGTACTTTGTAGGTACAATATATTATTATCAATGATATATTGCACCCTTGAATTTTTGAAAAATTATTGTCAACCTGCAGATTTTTTCAAACACACCACCACTCTAAAAACTACAGCCAAAAAACACCTTCCAAGTACCCCTACTCCAAGTTCATCTAGGGAAGAAGGTTTTATAAAAATTTTAAAATAAACGAGACCCATGTCGAGCGTGAGTGCCTGGAGTATGACAGTTGTATAAAAAGATGGTAGGTACTTAGTATAACAACATCATGACTAACCCTTTTCATTTTGAAATGTGCGTGAGATCTCACAATAATACCTAGGTACCTAATTATTATTATACAATTTCCAAACATTTACCATTTTGGTGTTTTCCGGATCTCTAAAAATGTTGTCGAAGCTTAAATAAGAATATAAAATTTTAATAATATTATTATTTTTAAATTAATTAAATAATAATAATTCACTTAATAAACTCATAATTACAATGACACCAATGTGTTTTTGTAAATCTTCATTGCTCATTTTTAATGGGGCGCTGGAGTTATTTTGTACACCATATTTATAAGTCTCTAAACATGTATTATGATCCATTAAATCTGAGGTAAAAAAATATTTGAAAAGGCGTATCTAGCTCTAGTGTGTAGTTCGGAAAATCAGAATTGCCAAGAAAATTAGCATCCATTACTGGAACTATTACTACCTTTTGTCATTCAATATATATCTCATCTAGCTAAACTTCAAGACGAATAAACGAGTTTCCTGGATCGATTCATTACTTTAATTATTATTACTCGACCCCACTTCCCTTCCGGTTTAAAAAAATAAAACGCCACGAGTTTTCTTTCTTGTTTAAAGTCACTAAATAAACCCAAAAACATATTCTGTAGATCAGCGGTTCCACGTTTTCACACACAGAATGGGAGTGGAGGTTTGGGGACTGGTAAACATGGTTATAACTTGTAAGTTTAAGTTTCAACGTTATGTGGATAGTACTCGTTTATGATTTCCGGTGGTCAGACTAAACCTATGGAGAATTCGGACAACGAGCTAATTGTCATGGAAACCGAAACGTGTCACGTTTTTTGTTTAGTTGAACATCACTTTTATTTTTTTTAACAGTTCGTCTCCGACGTTACCGTTGTAATGCGAATCTTTTCGATGCATTCTGTCACTTGTACGCGTGCCGGAAGGCAGACGGAAAAGATATTATGACCATTTGTTTATGCGGGAAAAACAATTGACTTTACTCATTCGCTTCGGACGTGTCTATGCGAAATGACCGTCACTTACACCGACCAGGTGGCCACGTGCAGCGGCATGGGCGTTTTTTGGAAACTACTTTTCCGGTAATGTCGTGATGCTCAAAAATACCCACACAACGTTAAAGGTCGGCCGTGTGTCGTGTTCGGTTTCAGCTGGAGAGGTAGTATTTACAAACTGCTGTGGCCCAATCTCATACTGTTTGCCGTCTGTTATTTCTCTCTGAGCTTCGCCTACCGGACGCTGATGACACAGTCCCAGAGGAAGTAGGTACCTCCTATACCTAATGTGTTTTTTTTTGCGTGTGAAAATATGCCACGCAATAATTTAGCCACGCGATTTACTCGATGTAGCCTGTTCGAGAAATTATCGCTGCACTGTCTAACGCACATGGATCTCATACCGGTGTCGTTTGTGTTGGGATTTTACGTGGCTCTGGTGGTAGGCAGATGGTGGAGCCAGTATCAGAGCATACCGTGGCCGGACTCGTTAGCTCTAAACGTCAGCACGTTAATAACGGGCCAGGTGATTATTACCAGTGTATTCGGTATAAGAGACAACAGAGCCGCGCACAGGACAGAGAGGTACACCGAACAGGCGGGGGAGGGACAGATGTTCTATAGTCGAATAGCCACGAATGGTGGTGACTATGTAGTGTTTGGAGAGGATTTTTAAAAATCGGTCGTCAAGGCACCTATGTTAATAACGCAATACCGTTGTTTTGTTAAACGGCGGCACAGGACGACCGGTCGAGGCTGATCAGAAGGACAATACTGAGGTACGCGAATCTCAGTATATTGATGACGTTGACCATGATATGTCCCGCGGTGAAGAAACGTTTCCCGACAATGGGCCACATGATCGACTCTGGGTTCCTGTTGCCAGCCGAACAGACCGTGTTCGAGTCCATGAACGCCAAGACCAGCCACTCCAACTATTGGATGCCGCTGGTTTGGGCAGCCACCATAGTGACGCAGGCGAAACGGGAAAAGCGCATTGCCGACGAGTTCTCCACAAAAACGTTGGTGCACGAGATCAACAAAATCAGATCCGATTGTCACAATCTACTGAGTTACGATTGGATCAGCATACCGTTAGTCTATACACAGGCAAGTACATGAGAATTTCGCCCAAACAATACTTAGGGTACGCCGCAAGGAAAGGGTGTAGAAAAAAGTGCAAACACCGTACATGGACATGCTTTTTTTTTTGATAGACCCTCAGCCGAAAGCCACGTTAACGACAAAAAAGAATACTCTATTAATAATGACAACCATTCGCACATGCAAACTTGGAGGGTTTACAACCTCTCACGCCCCCAAAAAAATTGCACCGACCAAACTAGCTTGCGCGGACTGTAGTTCATTGACTTTCTCGTTCAATCTTAGGTGACAACACTGGCGGTGTACGCCTATTTCATTGCTTCTCTGATGGGCAACCAATACCTAGACCCAAGCCGAGGATATCCCACGCATCCGATCGACTTGTATTTTCCAGTGTTCACATTTTTACAAGTAAGCGAACGCCCGGATTTGGTCGTATGGAAATATATGTAATGCACTGTATAATATTGTGCGCTTAGTTTTTTTTCTACATGGGCTGGTTAATGGTGGCCGAAACATTGGTAAACCCCTTCGGAGACAACGATGACGATTTCGACGTTAATTGGCTAATCGATAGAAATTTGCAGGTAAATAAAGCGATTAATGCGTAGGTATCGAGCATTGTACTTGACTATTCTCAGGTTTCCACGCTCGATTTGAAAACCCCCCACTTTATTTTAGGTATCATATGTAATTGTCGACGAGCTGCATCAGGAATATCCGAAAATGAAAAAGGATCAATATTGGAACGAAATATTCCCAGCAGAGCTACCGTACACGGAGGCGACAAAGCACATGCAAACTGCTCCGTTTCTGGGTTCAGCTCAGCACATCGAGCTAGGAGTAGAGTATATGGACAGAAGGATAATTGTGGCAAATGCCGGAAACCGGAGGGTAGGCGTTCCCAACGAAAACGTTCCTTATACATTACATTAATGCAGGATGCATTCCCTTGTTCGGTCCTTTGTGCCTTTGTCGGACCATTGTAAAATCATTTTCTGGCCACCAAGTTACCGTTTGACGCGCCTACGCTTGTCTTCTCCTCGCAGTTATACCTTGCCCTCGACTATAGTAGTTTTTCAACATATATTCGTCCCCCCCCCCAAGTCATTTGAAAAAAACACAGAACAATAAAGACTAGGGTTGAGCAAATAAAGATGAAACGGCTACAGCCCAAAGTTTGACTCTGCAATAGATCCGAATCGCGTTGGCCCAAGACCAATCAAGCGGACAGAATGTACATTTGACAAAAATTATTATTAACTGTAACGGTCACATTTAGCCGCCCGTTACCACTCGCCTCCAAATATGCATTATTAGCAGTTTACCCCGATTAGCATGTAAGCCATTATAGGTAGGGGAGACAACAGACACACGGGACAATGCCAGGGGCACCAATGCCCAGTTAGTTGACATACTACCATCTTCGGACCGCGACCTAATTATTCTAAAGCCATTACCTATATTTCACGTTACATTACTATTTTATATTTCTTTAACTTTACCCGTACTCGTGTGTCCGTTCAACTCCGCCATTACCTGGACTAACTACAGAGAACGCTTTAGGATCCAGGTAGAGGTGTAATATATATGTACATAGCTTTACTTATTTAATAAACCTGTTTTCGTTTCGTTGCACACTTGAGAGTTAAGTTATTTAGAGGTACGATCGCCTGTTAAGCTCCTCAGGCGATATAGCAAATATACAAAGGAGACTTTAGGGATATTTAGGTGTAGATACGGCCTAGCCATCCGTCCCGTCTTCGGGTCCACTAATTTAACCCTATCGACTGTCGTTTCGGCCTAGCCTAGCCAACTAGCCAAGCAGACACGTTACAATTTGCCCGGCGCCTCCACCAAATAACTCGTACCTCTAAATAACTTAACTCTCAAGTGTGCAACGAAACGAAAACAGGTTTATTAAATAAGTAAAGCTATGTACATATATATTACACCTCTACCTGGATCCTAAAGCGTTCTCTGTAGTTAGTCCAGGTAATGGCGGAGTTGAACGGACACACGAGTACGGGTAAAGTTAAAGAAATATAAAATAGTAATGTAACGTGAAATATAGGTAATGGCTTTAGAATAATTAGGTCGCGGTCCGAAGATGGTAGTATGTCAACTAACTGGGCATTGGTGCCCCTGGCATTGTCCCGTGTGTCTGTTGTCTCCCCTACCTATAATGGCTTACATGCTAATCGGGGTAAACTGCTAATAATGCATATTTGGAGGCGAGTGGTAACGGGCGGCTAAATGTGACCGTTACATAACAATACAATAAATGCATCGTAATTCGTATAACGTTTAAGTATACAAATTTTAAAATACCTAAATAAAACTTATTGCATAATTATACGCATATAAAACTCAAAATTGAACAAGTCTCAAAAAGTGTACAATTTCTAACTAGAACATAATATAACGGGCTAGCCAGGTAATATTCTCGAGTTCAAAAACTTACAAGTAATTTAAAAATGAGTTTTGAATAATTATTTTAGAATTCTCCGGAAAATCGTCAAATCTACAATTATAATTTAATAGATTTACATTTTACTGATAAATTATTAAAAGACAATACTTAACTAGGTATTTGCCATACATACAAGTATCTAATAAACTATATTATATTTTCCAATTTATATATAATTTAGCAAACAAATAATAAAATTCGCGATTGTAACCAGTTACATATTTTTGCTTAAATTACTTGGTGAGATAATAATGTTTTTTACAGACCTCGAAACGGTTATCAAACTTTTTAAAGTTCATAGTTTAAAAGTTATGAAATAACCATCAAAGTTATTACAAAAGTTTTTGAAATACATTTTTAAACTTATTTGTGTAAACGCATTATAGTCAAATGTATTGGGAATATTAACAATAATTTTTATTTATATAATACTATATATTATATATATATATTTTTTAAATGTTATACTTAGATCAATGCTCGAAACTTGGATCTTAAATCCGGGAGCGTAATTGAAAAAACTGATGATCCGAAAAGTATGTCAAAAAGACAAAATGAAAATAACGATGACTTCAGAAATTCATCAAGTTTGTACTATTAATGATATATTTTATAATTTTTTTACTAACACCAATCATTCTATATGCTGTCTCACTTGTGAGTAGAAGAATCATTAGTGTCGTTGATCGAATACAATCCGGCGCCACCCCAGACCGTTTCAATATACAAAGCGTCGGAAGTTGTGAGATTTTTTATCTTATATTTGTTAAACCATAATACAGTTTTAACATTGTGTTTTTAGGGCAACGTTTGTGAAACCAATCGAGATTTCCCGAATGTTTAGTAGCGATACTATATAATATTGCTAATCGATAGTCTATATCTATACATACAACTCTGTTATGCCTATAATTAGTAATATACATATTATTGGTTTGTTTTTATAAATAAGCAAATAAATTATATAAAATAATAATTATATAAAACTATATGCACATATAGCATAACCTGATAAAGATCAAATATACTAGTTATGTATATTATTTATTCATTTATCAGTAGTTATTTATCATAACAATTTCATTGCATCTATCGATGACAATTATTCTTCATGTATACAATTTTAATTATCTTACTAAACCCGACAAGAACATTATTAGTTTAATTTATTTAGACATTAAATTACCGATAAAGAATTACCAGAATCGAAGAGTTAAATAGGCGAAAGTAAAAAACAACACTGGTACGTTGCTTGCTTAACATTATGCTGTTTTGTATCCTAAATATAATACATTTAATACTAGTCAATTTGTTAAAGCTAGTCATTCATTTTTATATACAATTAAAACTCTTTTTTAAATATATATCAATGAATAAATCGTTTCAACTATAAAATACCAGTTTTATAAAAGATAAAAATGTATTTAAGCTTAAAATCTTACAAAATTACAATAAAGAAAAATTATCTTGGTATCATAAAACCATGTCGTTAAGTTAAAATTACTTAAAACAATGTACAGAAAAACTATACATTTAGTACATATCATACATTATTTTAAAACATATTTTACTATAAGTAATAGTTGACGAGTAAATATAAATTTAAACTTGAATAAATTAAATATAAGAACAGTATTGGCGTAACCATTCCCAGCCGCTTTGTTCATTGATTTCAGAGTCTCTTTGCGAAATACGGAATGCATCTTGTAATCTTTTCTAAAACAACGATAAAATATTTTTTCAGACACGCACAAAATATGGTTCATAATATTCACAATGGATATGAAGATTATTTTTAAAAACAATAAATTAGTAATTTTATTAAATATTATGAAGTATAATAATACAAAAATGAATTTACTTCTTCTAATAAAATTTTTCGGTTTTCTAGTAATTGTACTAACATTACCAACATTAAATCCATTAATTCATCTACATTGACATCTTCTTTCGATGATATCTCTATAAATGGCATTTTTAAATAATCAGCTACCTACAAAAATAACGTTAATTAAAAAAATTACAGGTTTAAACAAACTATTTGTAAAAATAAGTACCAAACATGGTATTTAAATAGAAATAAATGGTGGCGTTGCAGCAAAAGTATATGCATGCCTTTTAAGAAACCAAGAGTAATTATTATTTCATTGTAGTAAGAGAAGTTTAGGATTTGACTTATTTTCACTTCAAATTAGCAATCTTGTTTTGTATAAAAGGAAATACTAATTATTTTGGTACATACCGATTGCCCGATTTCAGTTGTAATCATTCTGGTACGTTTATCACATTTATTACCAACCAAAATTTTGATTACATCACTTGGTGCTTGCTGGAAAAAAAAAGAAATAATAATTTACTGTACAAAAAGTATAATATTATAGGCCCACTACAATTACTTTACTAATATTTAACACTAAATGGTATGGATTTACTTGTTTTTAAAAGGCAATGTATAGCGCTCGCTGTTGCTAGTTTTCATACTCAGCATCGTGCAGCTCTGTTAATTAGGCAGAAAATATCTAGTAAAAAGGATCTGCCAAAATATCATCCTTGAAGAATGCTTTAATGGCTGTAATAGGTTGCTTAAGGAATAGAATAATATAATCTACAGAGTCGGATTGAATCGGAGGACAAAAGAGTAATCGCCCCTGGAATGTGTTTAATCTATGCTATTATACAAAATAATTTCTGTAACTGTCGTACAAGCAATAAGTACTGAACAGTACTTATTCTAGTGAAAGCAATTACCTCATCAATCAAATCACACCACTTATTCAGTTTAAAACACGACTCCTCATTGGTAATATCGTAGACAAGTAATATACACATTGCATTTCTTATATAAAACTTATTCAAAGCATCAAATCTCTCTTGTCCAGCTGTATCCCTAAATGTTAAGAAACAAATAATCAAATACTATTATTTTCGATTGATATCATAAAGTGATTTCCAAAATTAGTTATTTTAATCTTTAATCCAATGTGAGTTTCGACTACGTCGCATTAATTTTAAATATCAAACAAATCCGTCTGATTATAATTACAATTAAATTGAGATTAGAATTCCAGGCTATTCAAATTAAAATAGTTATGAAAGTTTATTATACCAAATTAATTATAACCTATTCTACAATACGATCATTTAATGAATATTTAATTTTTTTTACCAGTAATAAGAGATATGTACTTACCACAGTTCTAGTCTAATTAATTTATTTCCCAAATCAACAGTTTTATGTAAACAATCGATTCCTAAGAAACAAATATACAAAAATATATGATGACTAATAAAAAAAATCTTAAAATGTATTTATTATACCTTTGGTCATCGAATTTTCATTATTATATGTTCCATACATTATCTTTTGCAATAAGCATGTTTTTCCGACACCAGAAGCTCCTAATGTTACTACCTTGCAGATATCTTTTTGCCGATTCATTGGATACAGATATTCCAAACGAAGAATATAATATCTTATAATTAAAATAATATAAACAATATAATTAAAAAAAAAAAATAGGTTTAAGGTCTACAAGACTACAGCTACTGTTATATTAGCCGTATAAAACGTCGAAGTATAACAAGGTTTGGTAATAATAATTAATTTGAATGAAAATTCTAATTTGTATTGTACCTATCTGTGTGTATGTACATTTTGTTATCAGTAATGGATATTGATAACATTTGTTATCCCTTATCAATATAATTGATAATACCATGTTGTTTATCGCTAGCGACGGGATAACACCACTTTTTCCAAATTGCATATATTACCAAGGACCACTTTTTCCATTGTACACTTTTTACCAATGACCAGTTTTCCTAATATTAATTTATCCCAACTAGGAAAACATGTAGTTTGGAAAAACTGGTGTTTGGTAAAAATAATAACTGAAAAATTGGTTTTAAACACATTTACCAATTAGTAAAAGAGCATAATAGGTAAAAGTTTTTTTATGTTTTATACCTACAACTAGTTTTTTTAATATTTATTTATTCCAATTGGCTATATGATATATATTATAACTTTCATCTAATTTATTTTTTTTAATACTTTTAAGCTTAGATGTTAATGAATATTGACCATAGGTGTATTTAAACATGCAATTTAAAATGTCAAAGTATGCCTATTAAAATCGGCTTTAAATTTTAAGCCGTGTTTTCAAATAGCTGACATGACAGAATACAAATAATATTATTTTACGTAGGTTAATTAGGTAACTACTTAAAAAGGTATTTTACAGGATAACATTGTATTACAATTATTTGGTAATATTTTAAAATCAAAAAGAACAATGACGATTATTTAAAAATTGTTGGACAATATTTGTATAGCCATACTTATCATTTAATATTTTTTCTTACGTGTATCATTTTCTTTAGCTTATACTAATTAACACGATTATAGATAATATTAAAATGGAACATCTTAAATAATTATACTTACAAATATACTACTACTAAATCTAGAACTATTGGCAAATATATGTTCAAAAGTTGCAAATATGCAAATATATGCAATATAAGCTTGCTGATTTGAAATGTAGACTCTAGTCTTTGTGAATCGAATTTACATCGTATTAGGGTACAACTCTAATTTTACTAAAAAAATTCCGAAAGACATAAACATCCAAGCTTTACTAGGCAAGTACCTTACCTATTAACTACACTCATATTCAAAGTTTTCAATGGAATTATAACAAAAAATTACAATAGTTATTAATTGTTTATTACGTTTTACAAAGTAGGTAAAGACGTTTCAAAGTTTAAATAATTTTATATTACTTTATCCTCGATTCAAATTTGATTCTTAATATTAAAATTATATCGATACTATGTTAATCATAAATATAATAACAGCATTTTCAAATGTTATGAAATTAATTATTTATAACTAAATTTAAATGTTTAAATACCAAATGTTTACAATTTATAAAATGTCTATATCATGCCTAGAGGTCTATATTATTTATTTTATTTTATTCTACTCGTAAATAAGGTACCTACAGATATCAAGTTGATATAAAAACGTGTGATGTTTTTATAAACTTTGATAGAGTTCCTATTTAAATATCAGCATTGGACCTTCTAGGCCTGTACGTACGGCTTGCATAATGATTCTGATGATGAATTGTGTAGGTATTTATTGTCATTTGTAGTCCAGTCGTTTTTGCCAATGTTGTAGAAACAGTATCAAAGACAAGACCACTATTGTACTTATAACTTGTATGAATAATGAATATACAGCTAAATACAATTATGAGAAGACAAATTTCTAAAATTTTCCTTCAGTGAACTAAGTATAAACAATGTAGTCTTTGAGAAAAAATAACATAGTGAATTGTTATTTATTGATTCAATATATTATACTTAAATTTTCATTTATTGTATTTTTTTAATAGTTGTGTGAATTTGAATGTGTTTAAGACGTTTTACTACCAAGATATCTATGTTATCATAGACCTATAAAGAAGTATATATATATAGGATTTCTTTAAAGGTCTATGATCTATACTTAGTCTATTTTGTAAAAACAGCGTTGGGCCATAAAGGCATTTAAGCTGATAATTATATAGTATATAATATAATATAATATAGGTATATTATTATTTAATATTTAAAGTAATTGAGATTTCAATACAATTTTTAAAATAGGGTAACGGCACCAGCGATTGGCACTATATTCCAGTATTTGCAATGCAGTGTTTATACCACAGATAAAATATCTTCCTTTTTTTTAATGACATTTTGTATAAAAATATTATCTCAATGGTCCAATTGTATATAATATATTAATATTGTATCTGTGATATAAATAAACACTATCTCAAAACACTGAGATAGTGCCAATCACTGGTGTCATTACCCTATGTTAGTTTTTTTTTGTTATTTCAAAAAATACATTATTAGTAAATTATCTGTGGTGTACTTAGGATTTAAAAAATTTTTAATTAAGATCTACATACAAGAAAAATTATTTTAATACAGAGTTATTATATGAATGGTGCGTACAGACTACAGTACTCGATTGGAAAATCAAAAAGTAGGGGGACGTTCTAACTTTTTAAAAAAAGAGCTTTTTTTTACCGAGTACACTACAATTTCTGAAAAATAGCTGAGGTTTCAGATCGAGATTTCCCGAATGTTTAGTAACGATACTATATAATAAATAAATTAATAAATTATATAATTAATAAATTGATAGTCAAAATCTATACATACAACTATGTTATGCCTATAATTAGTAATATACATATTACTGGTTTGTTTTTATAAGTAAGCAAATAAATTATATAAAATTATTGATCATGCCTAACATACAGCATAACCCGATAAAGATCAAATATACTAGTTGAATAGGTGAACGTAGGAAACTACACTGGTGCGTTGCTTGCTCAACATTATGCTGTTTTGTATCCTAAGTATAATACACTTAAAATTATGTAAAATCTAGTAATTTATTTTTATATACAATTAATACTCTTTTTAAATATATATATATATCAATAAATAAAACGTTTTAAGTATAAAATACAGATAAGAATGTATTTAAACTTAAAATATTACAAAATTACAATAAAGAAAAATTATTTTGGGAGAAATCATAAAATCTTTTAGTTCTCTTTGCCAAGTCGTTAAGTTAAATTTACTTAAAAATAATAGCTTAGAAAATCTGTAATTAGTGCTGGAAAACTATACATTTGGTACATATCATACATTATTTAAAAATATATTTTACTATAAGTAATAGTTGACGAGTAAATATAAATTTAAACATGAATAATTTAAATATAAGAACAGTATTGGCGTAACCATTCCCAGCCGCTTTGTTCATTGATTTCGGAGTTTCTTTGCGAAATACGGAATGCATCTTGTAATCTTTTCTAAAACAACGATAAAATATTTTTTCAGACACGCACATAATATGGTTCATAATATTCACAATGGATATGAAGATTCTTTTTAAAAACAATAAATTAGTAATTTTATTAAATATTATGAAGTATTAAATAATAATAAAAAAATAAATTTACTTCTTCTAATAAAATTTTTCGGTTTTCTAGTAATTGTACTAACATTACCAACATTAAATCCATTAATTCATCTACATTGACATCTTCTTTCGATGATAGCTCTATAAATGGCATTTTTAAATAATCAGCTACCTACAAAAGTAACGTTAATTAAAAAAAATTACAGGTTTAAACAAACTATTTGTAAAAATAAGTACCAAACATGGTATTTAAATAGAAATAAATGGTGGCAATGCAGCAAAAGTATATGCATGCCTTTTAAGAAACCAAGAGTAATTATTATTTCATTGTAGTAAGAGAAGTTTAGGATTTGACTTATTTTCACTTCAAATTAGCAATCCTGTTTTGTATGAAAAGAAATACTAATTATTTTGGTACATACCGATTGCCCGATTTCAGTTGGAATCATTCTGGTACGTTTATCACATTTATTACCAACCAAAATTTTGATTACATCACTTGGTGCTTGCTGGAAAAAAATAGAAATAATAATTTACTGTATAAAAAGTATAATATTATAAGCCCACTACAATTACTTTACTAATAATTAACACTAAATGGTACTAAATAGTATGGATTTACTTGTTTTTAAAAGGACAAGTGAGTAAGGCAATGTATAGCGCTCGCTGTAGCTAGTTTTCATACTCAGCCTCGTGCAGCTCTGTTAATTAGGCAGAAAATATCTAGTAAAAGGGATCTGCCAAAATATCATCCTTGAAGAATGCTTCAATGGCTGTAATAGGTTGCTTAAGGAAAAGAATAATATAATCTACAGATTCGGATTGAATCGGAGGACAAAAGAGTAATCGCCCCTGGAATGTGTTTAATCTATGCTATTATACAAAATAATTTCTTTAACTGTCGTACAAGCAATAAGTACTTATTCTAGTGAAAGCAATTACCTCATCAATCAAATCACACCACTTATTCAGTTTAAAACACGACTCCTCATTGGTAATATCGTAGACAAGTAATATACACATTACATTTCTTATATATAACTTATTCATAGCATCAAATCTCTCTTGTCCAGCTGTATCCCTAAATGTTAAGAAACAAATAATCAAATACTATTATTTTCGATTGATATCATAAAGTGATTTCCAAAATTAGTTATTTTAATCTTTAATCCAATGTGAGTTTCGACTATGTCGCATTCATTTTAAATATCAAACAAATCCGTTTGATTATTATTAAAATTCAATTGAGATTAGAATTCCAGGCTATTCAAATTAAAATAGTTATGAAAGTTTATAATACCAAATTAATTATAACCTATTCTACAATACAATCATTTAATGAATATCTAATTTTATTTTACCAGTAATAAGAGATATGTACTTACCACAGTTCTAGTGTAATTAATTTATTTCCCAAATCAACAGTTTTATGTAAACAATCGATTCCTAAGAAACAAATATACAAAAATATATGATGACTAATAAAAAAAATCTTAAAATGTATTTATACCTATGGTCATCGAATTTTCATTATTATATGTTCCATATTTTATCTTTTGCAATAAGCATGTTTTTCCGACACCAGAATCTCCTAACGTTACTACCTTGCAGATATCGTTTTGCCGATTCATTGGATACAGATATTCCAAACGAAGAATATAATATCTTACAATTAAAATAATATAAACAATATAATTAAAAAAAAAAAATAGGTTTAAGGTCTACAAGACTACAGCTACTGTTATATTAGCCGTATAAAACGTCGAAGTATAACAAGGTTTAGTAATAATAATTAATTTGAATGAAAATTCTAATTTGTACTGTACCTATCTGTGTGTAGTATGTACATTTTGTTATCAGTAATGGATATTGATAACATTTGTTATCCCTTATCAATATGATTGATAATACCATGTTGTTTATCGCTAGCGACCATAGAGTGGTATCATAGACCTATTCCTTGGTTATCTTCAACGGTAATGACCGTGGCCTAGTACCTATACCTACCTTCGCGGTACGCCGAAAAATACTTGGAACTTGGAAGTAATTCAAGTCAAAAGTGAAAATAATCAGCAATTTATTTATTTGTTTTATAAACTAATGCATTATGCTGTTAATGGTTTATAGTGTAAACTTGAAACTTCACACCGTGATAATCAAAGAGTGAGCCCTGTGGGGTAGGTGCATTCTAAAATATTATCCGTAGGTATGTAATTTTATTAGAGAACAGGTTGGTAAATAATGTATTAAACCTTATAATATTTCTGAGCTTACGGGTTGCTAATTTTATGAATTTCAACTAGGTATTAAAAATAACCACACAATTTGACCACTTTAAAAACACCTATTTCAACATTCAAGTCGATTCATTATTTCAATAAACACAGAAAATATCAGGTGCCTTAAGTATACTGAGTCTGTTGTGACCGTTGGTGATGATAGCTTTGCTACTGTAATACCCGGTTTTTAAATATTTGAATATTTAATTTTTTTTTGTAGAAACCTCTATTGTTTAATAAAAATAATTACTTATCTCACAAAGAACCTACCGAATTTGATTTGTTGAAAAAACATGTCCGTGGTATTGATGAGAAGCTACAGAGATCTACAGTAATTTTGTATGTACCTATTTATCTGTCTAAAACCAATGTCTTCAGTGTATTCACTATTACAACGATCTATGTCCTTAAAAACTGGAAAAAGGAACTAGATTTGCTAACCCTTATCAATGAATCCGGTTGAATACCTCGGATTAGTTATTAGTAATTCTCTTAAATGGGTTAGACCATGTCAATAAAGTGCATACTTTAATTAGGCAAATGCACAATAAACATTAAATTTATTAAAATATCCATATTTTTAATTTAAGTAGATATGTTAATAATTAGCTAATAAACAATATTTCAAATAATTAACTTATAATACAAAATAAAACAAGTTATTCTACACATTCAATGCCATTAAACATACCCAACTCTAAATAGTCTATTCAAATTAAATGTGAGTTAGCCAAGATTGTACTTTCTAAATAATTATACTTTGTATTCAATGTATTTACTGTTGAAAAAAATGTATTATGAATTTAAATAAATATCAATCGTGGCAGAATCCAGTTGTCAGATGGTTGTATTAGCTATTGAAGGTTTCATATGATTTTATTTGAATTATGATAAAAGCCAGTACAGCAGGAACAGAACATATTGGGGCTTGGGTTTGAGTACATTTTTTTAATTTCTATCCAATTAGTTGCTTTTTAGGTTTGTAAAATTGCTATTTGAAGAAATTGGTTTAGCAGGTTAAAATCAAGTTGTGTGGCCAGGAAAAAAATAATGTAATAACAATAACTTTTCAGCTAGAGGTTCGTAACAATTTAATGTAATAGGAAATATTTTGTATAATTTTAAAAATTATCATTAACGATAAAAATAAGATTTATATTAAACAAAAGATTCAAATGCTGGTTGAGTGAATGGTATTATAATTATTAATTGATAATCTTCGTTTCAGATGAGCTTAATTTTGTCTTCTACCGTTATTTACCAGGTCCAACATATGGTCAGCCTTGAAACCATTGTAAAATTCGTCTTCCGTAATAATACCGTGATCTGAAATTCATACTTGCATTAAAATAAACTAATACATACACCATCAATGACTTTTTTTAAAAATGTTTTGATGATAATATCTTTTGTTAGAAGCTAACTCGAGACTTTCATTTATCACAATGTATATTTTTTTCCAATGTATATTGTACAGTTACACTTTAAGTGAATCTGTGTACAATTTGTATAATGTAAATTGTTCGCTTTAACTCAACATTAAAAATAAACTAGCACAGTATCTGATCACAAAAGTAAATACAATAATTAAAAATCAGCAGGGAAAGAAGTTAGCAAAGTGGGGCCATAACAATTAAATTAAGTCTGAAAATGATATTGTCATAATTAAACGCTTTTATGTGAATCTATGAATAGTACAGCAACAAAATTAAAAACAGCAAATAGCTGTTTTGTTTTTTTAATAATATATAACAATTATAATTCAATAACGATGCTCAGAAATTACTAAGTATACTCTGTCCTCATTATTTCCCTGCGTGTGTTTAATATAACATTTAATAATAATTTGACATTTGTTAGATATTAGCTCAATGCAATACATTATGATATCTAACTGTAAAACATTGTACATGCAGGACGATTTTTTAACACGGGCCACTCAATATCTCATAGGGTTTAATAAGAAATTAAAATGTTTTTTTTTCATATTGTTTTTTATAGAATTTGATCTCAATTTTTCTCAACTATTTTGTTTTTACCCCCTCCCAACTTAGTGTTTTTGACATCAACTTTTGTATTTTTAATGGTAACGTATATATTTTATTAGCTTTTTAATTTGAGAATAATGTACAAAAAAATTTGACTGACCGATAACCAGTTTCGGATAACTATTTTTGAAGTTATTCAAGTTTAGGGCTAGTACTATTTTTATCTGCACGCATTTCCAAACCGCACTTCCCCTCCTATCTCAAACTTTTAAACTCTTTTAACTTTAATAATAGTTGTCCAAAACTGATATCAACCAGTCAAAATTTGTAGTACATTATTCTAAATTTAAAAAGTTAATGAATTATATACGTTACCATTTATGTTTCAAAAGTTGTTAACAAAATAACTAAGTTGGGGGGGGGGGGGGAAATAGTGTAAAATTGAGATCTCATTTTATACAAACATGAAAAAAAAATTAAATTTCTTATTAAACTCTATGAGATAAAATCGGAAAGAGCTATTTATTAGCGGCAAAGGATACGCAATATTTGATAAAAATTTATTAATAGCCATTTTTAAGATGCCGACTAGTAGTTTTAAGGTGAAAAAATATATATAGGTAAAAAAAGTATAAATTTTTCAGTAATAATACTTTAAAAAATATTTTTCTGCGAGTTATGGCGAAAGTTTGATAAAAAATTACTTTCATAGAGGTCATTTTCTGGCGTATCTATTGGACGGATTTCATTATTTTTTTTTTTAAGTGAAGCATACTATTTATTCTGTGGGGGGGCTAAAAGGCCGATTTTTGATTTAGTAATTATGGAATTAGTTAGAATTATTAGAAAAAAACTATGGACATATAAATGCTTATACATTTATTTTGAAAACAAAAATAAAAAACCGGCCTTCTAGCCCACATAGAAAAGATGTTCAACTATATAACAAAGAAAAAAAATATATTTGACTTGTGACTTCGCGTGATAGTCTTTATTTGTAAAAAATACCAATTATATTTAAAAAAGTTATTAAATACTTATCGTGATTTTTCAACATACTATGTAAATACTTTACGATCTCAGAGATATTTTGTCCAGAATAGTTTTTGCTCACCAAATAAGCTATTACATTTGGTTTTGTAATATTTTGAGGATATGCCGTTTTAAGAGCATCATATATTTCACGCTTCTTTTGCATTATCTAATTATAATTCCCAAATGAAAAAAAAATATTAATATATAATGTTTTTAAATATATTTTTTTAGTCATAATTATTTAATAGTACTATTAAAAAAAAAAAACAAAATCATTAATCTATCGCTTTATGGAAAATTAATACACATTTTCCACTAAAAAAATGATTCAGTTTTTGCTATAACTAGTGTTATAGCAAAGACTGAATAATTTTTTTAGCTACATTAATCAAATATCGATAGCTTCAATTAAAAAAAAAAAATTACCTGAACATCAGTTGCAGCAGTTGAATGTTTGATAAATAAAATCAGACATAGAAAAACGACGAATTTGAAATGCATGTTGCTTTAAACGTCTTTCTACTTTTCCAGATAAGTAAAAACATAAAATATGATACTCGTCTAATATGTTTCGGGTTTTATAGGGAAATTTTCACCTACGACCTACATATATTAATCGTATACAAACGGCGTTTGTCAAAGCTGTAGTTTGTTTTTGTTATGCTAACAATTTTATAGTTTTTCTTTCGGCCTATTTCTTAAAATGCTAATAGCTCCAAAAATATTTGTTTAAAACTTGTTTTCGACAAGAGTCTATTTTTTTCAACCGATTATTTATGGTCAAATAAATATATAAACTCTATGCTTGTCCTCCACTATGAACCGCCTCCACTGTACTGGCTTTTTTTTTTTTAAAATAAAAAATATTCTGAAAACTTGTTAAATACTTAGGCATTCATCTTGACAAGCGACTAACCTGGGCTACTCACATCAAAATTAAAACGCTATTCCTTAAATTAAAATTCCATAGCTTAAGACGTCTCTCCAATTCCACTCTACCACTATAAATCACCCGAATCCACTGATATCCAATATTTCTTCTCTTACTCTTCCAAACAATCCTCCTCGTCGATTAAAACGAAATTGGTCACGCGACCTTCTCAATAACTAAAAAAAAAAAATCAAAAATTTTTTTAAGGAATTCAAAACAATTATAATTATGTAATTGAATCTAGTTGAAGTAGTGTTACTGGGCACCCCCTTCTTTCTCGTTGTCCTGTCATTGTATTATATATTTTTTTTCAAATTTACTTATTGTAACTAATATTACAGATTGTAGATATATATTTTTAATAAAAAAAAAACGAGGTTTTGCTGTATTATTTTACTTAATAATACAGGGTGAACCAACTAACGTAAGACACTCATTTTTTTTCTGAAAATAAGAATATTTTTAGAATTTGTTTTCCCTAAACTTTTAGGTAGATATTTTGCTACATTTTTCAATATTTTGAAAATTTTTATCAACAATCCGTATAAGCCAAAAAGGGAGATTTTTGGTTTTTTCAAATGGCAACATATGTTTTTAA